CTTTTTTGTTAAAGTTATTCCTAAGTATTCTTTTTGATGCTATTTTAAAATGAATTGTTTTCTTAATTTTTAGTTTGTTTGTTGCTGGTATATAGAAATTCAGTTGTTTTTTGTAATTTGATCCTGTGTCTTGTAAGCTTGGTATTCTGTTTTGTTAGCTCTAACAGTTTTTTGTGGATTCCTTAGGGTTTTCTGTATGTAAGATCATGTTCATCTGCAAATAGAGGCTTACACTCTTTTTAAGCCATTTTATCTGGTGAATAGGTTATGTGATGGAGATTTCATTTATAAGTTGAAAATTGTCATATAGGTACTCACATTTTAGTAGTATCCTAAGAATTGTTACTTAACCTATTATTTACATATGCGTTGTTTTCCTTATCTAGATATTTAAGTGTCTATAGTAAAATTATGGTAATCGCTAATCTCTAAAGAACAGATCGTTCAGGGTAACTAAGTGTTCTAGATAGCTTCAAGTTACAAAGTAGTTATTTTTTGTTTGATTTTATTGGTGAAAATCATTCTAAAATGTTTTATGTATTTTCCTTGTTTAGAGTTTGTGTAGTATGGGTGGTGTAGGAAGGACTAACATTGATTGAACGCCCATAGCACATTAACATTTTGTAGATAATTTATGTATCTTCTTATTTAAATCTCATATCTTTTCTTTCTTTCTTTTTTTTTTAAAGATTTTTAAAAATTTTTTATTTATTTGACAGAGAGAGAAACAGTGAGAGAGGGAACATAAGCAGGGGGAGTGGGAAAGGGAGAAGCAGGCCCCTGCCGAGCAGGGAGCCTGATGCGGGGCTCGATCCCAGGACCCTGGGATCATGACCTGAGCTGAAGGCAGATGCTTAACGACTGAGCCACCCAGGCGCCCCTCTTTCTTTCTTTCTTTTTTTTTTTTTAAAGATTTTATTTATTTATTTGAGAGAGAGAGAGTGAGAAACAGCATTAGAAGGGAGAGGGTCAGAGGGAGAAGCAGGCTCCCTGCTGAGCCGGGAGCCTGATATGGGACTGTATCCCAGGACTCCGGGACCATGACCTGAGCCGAAGGCAGTCGCTTAACCAACTGAACCACCCAGGTGCCCCAAATCTCATATCTTTCTGAGATTTTTTTTTTTAATTAGAAAACTGAGATTCAGCAACATATTCACAGTCACATATCTAGGTAATAACTGTTAAAACTGGTATTCAAACCCAGCCTCTCTTGCTCCTCAGTCTGGCTGTTTTCTGGATACAGTGAACATAATTTAGGATTACTTTTATCAATGTCAATATTATGAAATGATGAAGGAGCTCGAAATGGCATAGCACTTAAGATTTAAAAGACTGTGGACCTTACTTTCTTGTAAAACTATTTCATTTTTGCTTTCTTCTCCCCTCCCCCTTTTATTTACATAACTTTATGAGGCATGTAAACTTGACTTCCTTTTTAAAATAGTAATAAGTAAACCATCCTTCTTCTGTATATTTCTGATCCTCCAGAAAATCATTATCATCTGTTATTTCTATGTTCTTTGGCTTGTTTACATCTTTTAAAGCCTTGTGATTTTCAAGTTGCTGACTTAATGGACTATAGGGTTTTTTATAATATTCTGTTTATGGTAGCTAGTCTCCAAAGATGGTCCTTAGTAAGGATCTTTAATCACACCTTGTGTTGTTTCTTTTCTCATTGAATCTGGGCTGGCGTATGCCTTGTATTAACCAATAGAATGAGATACAAATGAGGCTGTGTCAATTCTAGGCCTGGCTATTAAGAGGCAACTTCTGCTTGCTCTGTTTTGGATCTCTGAACTGTTATGTAACCAGCTTAGGTACTCAGCTGGAGAAACCACATGGAGAGGTCACACAAAGAAAGGCCCTGAGACTACATTAGAGATAAAGCATCAGCCAATGCAGTGTCTCAGTTGTGCCTCTCCATCTGATTTTTACAACATTAGAGACTCCAAGCAAGACCAGCAGGAGAACTGCTCAATTGAGCCCAGTCAACCCACGGAACTGTGTGATATAAGAAAAAAAGTTGTTTCAAATTATTTTCAGAGTGGTTTGTTAAACGAACAAATAACTGCAACAGTGTTCTGGTTTATCTCTTAATTTTTTTTTTTTGTAATTGAGAGAAAAGTAACATAAAGGGAGATGAACAGATCGTAAGTATACAATTTGCAGAGTATAACTATGAAACTAACAATCTAATCAATATATAGAAAATTTTCTTCACCCCAGAAAGTTTCTTCATTCTTTCTTCTGGCCAATGCTCACCCCTCATAGACAGTCACTGCCCTGTGTCAATTTATTTAATGGCTTTTTTGCCAAATTTACTTTCTTAATTTATTTAGTTTTATTTAATTAGTTTTTATTTAGAAGTCATAATGACATTTAATTTGTCTCTGTCCCACCTCCCTGCTGCTACAAATTGAGATTTAGAGGTAAAAAGTGGGGGAGATTGAGGAATAAAATAAAAATATTCTTGAGTATTAAGAATTCTGATGAATATATATTTTTCAGTATGTGTAAGCACTTATTCATAATCATACTTCTTATTCATGGCTCTTTCCTATGTCCCAGGCTCTGTTATCCTATACCTTTATGGATTTTACATCCTTCATTTTTCCATCCCTGTGTGCCAGAACATCCTGGCTCAGCATCAACAAGCTAGGGCAGAGATAGTGGTATATTTCTTACAATGCTTTTAAAAAGATAAAATGAAAATTGGTCAATTAAAACTAAATAATTTAAAGAAAAAAAGAATACAGACTAGTTACTTGGCATACTGGTCTAATTCAGCTCTGACATGTCTGTGGAAAGAGAGAAAAATGGCTGGACCTTATCAGAAGTCCTGAGTCCTCTTTATGTACCTAGCATCAAGGAGCATTAAAAGAAGTCAGTCCATCATGAGGGTTAGGTCCTGCCAGGATTTGCACAGGAAGTACAAAAGTGAGAGTATGTACCATATGAATAAATAAATGATGGTTGAGCTTTAAAGCACTATAAATCTATGCTCATGTAAAATGTGGATCCTTGCAGTGCCCCAGGCTCTAAGAAATTAGATTCGCAACTTCTCTTTTCTTGAGGAAGGACTGGTGACTGGTAGGAGGGGGTAGGCAGAGGGTAAAGCATAGAGAGAAAGAGAAAAGTTCCTCCTTAAAGATTGTTTCCTTTTATTTGAGGTTGTTTTTATGAAGTTCTTCAAATTTGCCTTAGAAATGATGTTGTATGGGAAGGAGTTATTACTATTTTGGGGATTAGAATCATTCTGGTACAGTACTAATAATATTTCTAAGACATAATGTTTGTAAAATGCCTAGCCTAGTTCCTGGTATACAGTAGGTGGCCATTGAGTACTAAATTCCCATTGGAGTTTAGAGAAGAGCATCAGAGTCAAGTGAGAAAAGGAACAAATGGCTTAGAAGGGCATACATGAGCCAGAAGAAGAAGTAGGATTTAGATAGGCTGATATTGAGGAGGACATTTTGATAGTATGACCCAGATAGCAAGCCCCACTTTGAGTATAGGTGAAAAGTAGTGGAAAAGATGACTGTAAAGTTAATTTGTATCATATTTAGGAAAGTCTTTAGTATCACTGAGAAGTTCATAATAAATCTGTTAAGTAATGAGTCACTGAGGATGGTTTTTGGGCAGAAGAGTTACCTAATCAAAGCTGAGCCACGAGGAGATTAATTTGGCAGTGACATGTGGCATATGCTAGAGTGAAGAAAGACTGATGGCAGAGTATTGCAGTAATCCAAGCTGCGTGAAAGCCTGATTCGTGTGTTTGATTTTCCATCCCTTTTTCCAGCAAATTCAAATACTTGCATCATCTTTATTATGAATACACATTTTTATTTATTTGTTTTTTATGTTTATTTATATTATAGCACTTTGGGGGGGCACTTTCGTAAGAATCGCTGATTTTAAATTTTCTAACAACTCTTCAATATAAATGGCAGAGAGTTTACTTAAGAGGAGACCTAAGTTGGGCAACCCTCTTGGGTCCCCTCCCTCTTTACTATCGCTCAATAAACTTTGCTTTGCTGCCCAAAAAAAGGAAAGAAAAATAAAAAAGTAGACCTAAATCTGTTGACTCCCAATTTCAGATTCTTTCTGTTTATATGCTCTTGCATTTTAGAAGCGGCTCTTAAGGCTACCGTTAGCAGTCAGGAATTTCATATACTTGGAAATATTCAGGAATGTAATGGACAAGTGTTTTTCTCAGGAAATTGAGAACTATTAATGGTACCATAAAAAACCAAGAGGAGGGGCACCTGGATGGCACAGTTGGTTGAGCAATCAACTCTTGGTTTCAGCTCAGGTCATACTCTCAGGGTCACGGGAAATAAAACCCAAGAGGATACTACCATTTAGACACCTACACTTTAGTAGGGAGAAAATTGGAAGAATTAGAGTTTGCGACTAGAGTTGGGGATTGGGAATTGGGAATTGGGAGGTGGAAAACTGACATGAGGATCTCTGAAAGCTTTATTCGCTACTTTCAGAGATCCTCAGGTGGCTGACAGGATGGGGTTATAACGTTTCCCTAGGAAACTTCAATCCACATTTATCAAAAGCACTAGTGTACTGTGTTACCTTGCCCCTAAATTACTTCATTGGAACACTCAATTACTTCAGATATTTTAATTATCTGGGATGGAAGGAAATACAAGAAATTGGTAACATTTGTTACATTTGGGAAAAGAGATTGACGTCAGAGAAACTAGAATAGAATTTGTACCTTTTAAGTTTTATACCATCAGAACATTGTGACCTATTTGAAAATAAATTAAAATTAAATTATTTTCTCATGTCCTTTACATGGATAGAATGTGTTTAAAATACTTAACTGTATTTGAATGTCGCATAAATGGCCTGTATTTTCAGTTCACTGTCCGTATATTTTGCTATTCTTGCAAAAAATGCGTGTCTATAGTTGAGAATTAATGATTTGAAATTAAGAAAAAGGAATGCTGCTAGACTCTTAGTCTGAAATTCTGAAATCCTTTAATTGTAAAACTACTTTTCTCTTTTCTCGTTTAGGTTGGGTGTTGAAAACAAAAACATATTTTAGTAGAAATTCCCCTGTATTATTGCTTGGAAAATGTTACCATTTTAAATATGAAGGTAAGTGCTAAATTTGTAACCCATTTAAAAATCTTTGTAGAAATTCATTGTGTAACTGTTTTCATTTGTTTATTTCCAGATTAATCTACTTTTGGCATATTTCTTTCTGTTTTTTACTTACACTTTTTTATTGTAAAATACACATAACATAAAATTTACCATCTTAGTAATTTTTAAGTGTACAGTTTGGTGGTATTAAATACATTCATAATGTTGTGCTAATAACATTACTACCATTTAGCTCCAGAACTTTTCATCTTGTCAAACTGAAACTCTACCCATTAAACAGTAACTCCCCAACCTTCTCTTTCCCTCAGCCCCTGGGAACCACCATACTACTTTTTATGCCTGTGTTTTGGCATATTTCTTTTAAGAACCTGTATTTGATGTAACACAAAATATATTGGCATAGGGTTTGGGTTTCTAGTAAACTCCTTGAGGATGAGAATCATGACCTCTTTTGTTATATCCCTCATAGTTTTGGACTTATAATGGTATGAATGCTAAGTAAATATTATTTGAATTGATATCTTAATATTCTCTATCAAGTTCTCTGATAATTTTAAAGTATATGCTAATACTTAAAAGTATCACCTGAGTTAACCTAATAATGGTATATTTTCCAATTCTTAAGGATGTTCCAATTTCTGAAATTGACTTCATTTGATGTTTTTAAGTTTCCACATTTACTCATCCTCTTAATAATTATCATATGTTTTATTTTAATAATTATCATGTATTTTCTTTTAGTAACTTATGTCACTTAATGAGTGCCTTCTATGTGTCAGGCATCACGCTAAGCTCTTTGTGAAATGTCTTTAATTCTTACAACAAGCCTAGAAAGTTGATTCAAATATCCTTACCTTATGAGTATGGAAACAGGAGATTAGAGAAGTTAAGTAATTTGTCCAAAGTCACACGGGTATTCAATAGCAGAGCCGAAATTTAAACCAAGACTATGTCTCACTTTACGACTGGTGTTTTTTCTACTGTATATCTTTGCTTGATTTTATGTGTATGAGTGTGAATGTGCATGTATGTGTGTAAGAGAGAGGAGAGAATGTATGTGAGAGTATGTCATTATCAAGGCTTTTATTTTTGGTTGACCCATTTTGGAATATCATTTATCAGCAATTTTCTAAAACCTTTTAAATGTCTTGTAATAATAACAGCTAACATTTATTATTTATTATGTGCTAGGCAGCATTTTAAGTAATTTACGTGTTTAACTGATTGAATCCTCACAGCATTCTTGAAGGATGACTAGCAAGGTGATGGACAAAGAAGGGATGCATTTTAGGTAAATAGAATGGCACAAGATATTAGAGAGTATATTTCAGAAACAGAGATGTCTAGTGTAGGTATGGTGGGAGAGAATTCCGAAAAGAATCAAATTATGGAGGGGCTTCTTGAATGCAATACTAAAAAGTTATGTCATTTGTTTATAGGCAGAGGAGAATATGGGCTTTGGGGTCAGACATAAGTGCTTTGAATTTTGGCTCTTTACTAATTAGTTGTTACTTCAGGCAAATTATTTATTTTTACTAAGTATTAATGATAACTGTTTCGTAAGGGTTTAGTGATGTGCCTAGTACATATAAGCATCTTAAATAGTATTATTAGTCATGATATAGGAAACTGGAGAAAATATGTGTTAATTGACTACGTTATCAGGTAAGGCTTCTGGTCAACAATAAGCTATAAGTAGTTTAAGTGTTTGGGGACTCAAAAGTTATACATGGACTACAGGGTTGGGGTTGGAGTGCCTAACCCCACATTGTTCAAGGATCTACTGTTTTTTGCTTTGGTTTAGGAGTGGTGATAAAGGGAAGGAGAAAGGTGTGGGGATCTGGAGGGAGAAAGGAGAGGAGCTAGAAAGGTGGTAAGAGGCTGCATGTTCATTGAGACATTCCCTTGTTGACATCCCCTGATCTTAAGTAAAGTCAGGTAAGCTTATGAAATGCTTTATCCAAGAGGAGTTCTTTTGGAAAGGGCATGAATTTGACATGTCGAATGAAAAAGACAACTCATATTGTAGTGCCTGGACACGCGAAGGACCATTAAAGCTTAAGCTATGGAGAATTAGCAGAATTCTTAGGGGCTAGCTTTGGACTCCTACGTGTCACAGAATTTTTGGTGTAAGCAAGGTTTTCTAAGTTTTCAGAGAGATAGAGAGTGGGGTGCCTGGTTGGCTTCTTAATTGCAATGATTGTTATTGTCTTAGATTTTTGAGCAACAAAAATGCCAAACTTCAGTGAAATCAGTAATCATATGTTGAGAATGTACTGGTTAGGACGTTGATCTTGCCCAGAAGGAGCACATAATAACCATAACTAAATACATGCTTTGGAAGAATAACTGATAGAAGAATGATTGGAAGTCAGTTAATAGGCAAGATACAATGACTCTGATATAGGGTTGTGGAAATAGAAAGGAGGGGATGGATTTGAGATATTTTAAAATAGTATCAACAGCATTTAACAAATGACTGGATTTAGTAACATGAGAGATAGGAGATAAAGAAGACTTAGAAACTACTATCTTGGATGATAGGTAGTATTAGTAACCAAATGTGCTATATAAAGGAAGCATGGGTTTGAGGGTACATGTAGTGTTTGAAGTAGACTATTTAGAAACGAACAGTCTGAATGAAGTAGGCTGTTTAGAACTGATTTGTATTTATTTTCAGAGGTGGCCTTTGAGGCCAGTGGGTAAGGTCATATTGATGGAAAGTATAGGTAGAGAACATCCATCTTTAAGGATATCCTGATAAGGAAGAATTAGTGAATGAAATAAGAAGGAATAGGCAATATATAGGAGAAAACCCCACAATGGTATATTATCATAGAGACCAAAGGAAAGAGATTTTCAGGAAGAGTTTCAGGACAAAATGTCTAATGCTCAAGAGGTTGCGTAGGAAATAGCCTCGGTAGAGGCTCTAGGGTTTGTTAATGAGAAATTGCTGATGACTTTTTTTTTTAATTTTTTTTAAAGATTTTATTTATTTATTTGACAGAGAGAGACATAGCGAGAACAGGAACACAAACAGGGGGAGTGGGAGAGGGAGAAGCAGGCTTCCCACCAAGCAGAGAGCCCGATGCGGGGCTCGATCCCAGGACCCTGGGATCATGACCTGAGCTGAAGGCAGACGCTTAACGACTGAGCCACCGAGGCACCCCAGAGAAATTGCTGATGACTTTTGAGAGAGCAGTTTCACTAGAGTAGTAAAGATAGAAAAGTAACAGTAGCTAACCTACATTTAGTGAGTGTGGGTCTGTGTTGTTTTGTTTTGTTTTAAGGAGCTAGGGGGTTATGATATTTGGTAGAGAAGAATTTCTTATTTTTTAAAAAAGATTTTATTTATTTATTTGAGAGAGAGACTGAGCAAGCATGAATGTGGGTAGGGGCAGATGGAGAGAGACAAGCAGACTCCGTGAGTGGGGAGCCTAACACTGGGCTCGATCCCAGGACCCTGAGATCATGACCTGAGCCAAGGTCAGATGCATAACCAACTGAGCCACCCAGGTGTTCCAGAGAAGAACTTCCTATATAAAACATAAAATTACAGCCTATACAGGAAGATATTGATCAATTTGACCAAATACAAATTTAAAATATCTACCTGACAGAAGACCCTATAAACAAAGTTTCATAGCAAGCCAGAGAGAGAGAAGATATTTGCACATGCTCTTTCATTCTCTTTTATCTGTGTGTGTATCACATGATGATCTTTCTATCTCTCCATCTACTTCTTAAACAAAAGGGTAGTCTCCAAAATAATAGTGAACTACAAATTAATATGAAGCACATAAACAACCCAAGAAAAAATGAGCCAAGAAAATGAACAGGTGCTTTTTTTTTTTTAAGATTTTATTTATTTGAGAGCGAGAGACAGAGATAGCGAGTGAGAACACTGAGCAGGGAGGAGAGGGAGAAGCAGGCTCCCCACTGAGCAGGGAGCCCGATGCGGGGCTCGATCCTAGGACCCTGGGACCATGACCTGAGCCGAAGGCAGACGCTTAACCGACTGAGCCACCCAGGCGCCCCTGAACAGGTGCTTTTTAAGTAGAAATTTGAATGGCCAAATATAGAAAAATGCTATGTTAATAATAAAGGGAGTGCAAATTAAAATGAGATATTATTTCTTAGTCATCAGATTTGCAAAAATTGAAAGGTTTCATGATACCAAATGTTAGCAAGGATGTGAAGAAATAGGAACTCAAGCAGTGCTGATGAGAGGGTAAATTGGTACAACCGCTTCATGAAAAATTTGAGAGTACTTAGAAAAATTGAAAATATACACAACTTAGGACCCAGCAATTTGACCTTTAAGTATTTACCATAGAGAAGTTCTCTGTATGTGTGGAGAACACATGTACAAGGATGTTTATTGTAGCTTTATTGAAATAAAAAGTTGGAAACAACTCAAGTATTCAGTAGTAGGAGATTTGATGAATAAGGTTATTCATTTATTCCACAAATATTTATTGAGAGTCTTATAATGTGCCAGGCACTGGAGTTAATGCTGAAAGTATGACAGGCACAGTCCTTACTCTCAAGGACCGTACTGTCCAGCAGATGAGAGACATTAAACAATTAAGTACAAAAGTTATCAATCCTATTATGGTATTTGTGATGAAGCAGAAGTACAGGCTGCTATAAAACTACAGAAGGAGACCAAACTGGAAAGGTTGCTAACGGATGTATTTTAAAGTAGCTTAAACAATAAGGGGATGTATTAACATACACAAGCAGAGGTCCTATGTAGGGATGGCTCTAGGTTGGTTAATTCAGTGCCTCTCTGACATCAAGGACACAGCTTCTATTCATCTTCCGACTCTGCTAATCTCAGCATGTTGGCCTTATCTTCACCTACCACTCTTTGAAGTAGCAAGTGTTTACTTCAGCACCAAGCTAGGATATATGACCGGTATGACAGAATCCAGTGGAAGAAAGACTTTTTCTTTAGGATTTTGATGGACTCCTGTCTCACGTTTAGG